AATGAGGATCGTTGAAACCACTGAATAAATGCGTCTTCCCCGTTTGTCCCCTTCCTTCCTCACTCAGTACGCCATTCTTTATTTGCTGTTGTTACTCCTCCGCCTCTCAGAGGCACTCGCCCCATCTTCCTTTTTCCTCCTTGTTGCCACTCGTCAAACTCTTAGAGTAGCCCTCTGTTTTCTTTTCATCTTCTGTTATCTGCGGCGTGTTCCTCATTTACTCGTATTTAAACACCACTCCCTGCGCAGCCCTTTGAAATCCTCTCCCATTCTCTCAGTCTCTCTGTCATAACACCTTGTCCGAGTGATTACTCTCAGACTCAGGAATGTTTGTACCTGTTTAGTACTCCTTTTCTTCATGTGCAGACATGACTGGAGCACACCCAGGAACAGTACCTGCAGGACAGAGTTGGGATACCGTTTCTCTCCCTTTTTAAAGCCCCCTATGAACAGTGTGCTGCTGGCTTGTTTTGTGCTCTATCCTACATTAGAATTACAAAACCCTGCTCTGAATGTGTGTTGTTTTCTGAAGCCACAAATCTGGCAAGATCCAGAGTGTGCATCATTTTGTTTACCATGTGTTTCTCTTAAAGACTCCCTCCTGTTTTACACAAATGAGTCAGAGTGAGAGCACTTATCAGAATGCAAAGGAAACAGATTTTGTCAATGAAAATGGTCCGGGGTTGTAAATCATCCACTCGATCAAGTTAAATGTGAGTGTTCAAAATAGTATGATTAATGCAAGACAAAACAGCATGGTTGCAGCACCTAAACGGCCTCAGTATTTCATGTTGTTCATTACCTGTATACATCTATCATGCTTTTGGATTGAATTATAGTCTTTCATAGCACATCCTGGCATCTATTAATCTCAATAGTACATTTTAGTCATAGCAACTCAAGGTTACCCTCCTATCTGCGTTTTTTCTGCGTGGTTTTAATAGACACTGCCTGTTGTTGCCTGGAACAGTATCAGGGCTGCTGTTGTGCTGCTTTGAGGTATTTTTTATCTACGTGTTGGCAGGTGTTGCCTGGAGCGATGGCGTGCTGGTGGAACGCCTCTTCCCTTCTACGTACTCCAACCATTTCAAAATGTGTTATGTTATTAGCGTTTCTGTAAAGTTCGGACCATAGCTACTTTTATTTCACATTATCATAGTATGTACGTAGTAACAAAGGCACAGCGCTGGTGAAATTGATAAATACTTCCTTATCTTCTCTCATACAAGGCCAAGGAGGCTGAATGGGAGGTTGCTATGTGACCTTGCCGATGGATAAGTACATAGCAGACGTGAGCCGGATAACGCCGTGAGAACAGGCACTCTTCATCGCCAATACACCTCTTTGAGTTGCAAAACAAAATCAGCATGTTCCTTCACTGCACTGAAGTGGTCTGATGAGCGCTTCGTGGCGTTTCTTAGCTTCTTTCTTCTGCTTTTCAAGTACCTCCAATACAGAGGTAGAGCCACCTGAACATTCTATCCTCCATGATATTCCTTTAGCAACACGTCTTAATGGCTCCATTTCTAAATTCCTGCATCTTCCGAGACCTCCTTGGAGGTGGGTGAGATGGTCAAAGAGTCATTCAAATACCTGCATGTTTACATCTGCTTTCATGTCTGTATTTTGTATGGACTATAACTCATTCTTATTAGCTTTGACATGCACATTCTTTGAAATATCGGTGTCAGGAGGTGCTGTCACCTGATCCTTTATAGAAATGGAGGTGATGGGGAGCACCTTTGAATGCTCACTGCATCTTCTTTTACTGCCTCTGTTCTGTAGTTTTTATGATCCCGCCTTGTGTTTCGCACCTCTAAGTAGTCCATTTCGAGGCAACTATAGAAATGTAAAGACAGGAAGCTGCCTAATTACCGATGAGAGGGAAGACATAGCCTAGCATTAGAAGGCAGTTGCTGGTAGAGGAGAGGATTATGGGAGAATATTTTTTTCTCTCTGTCATCCTCTAGATTTTCACCCCGTCTTTGAGCTTGCTGGAAGGATGTGTTCTCGAGCAGGGGTGACCTGGCCCTGCTCTCTCATTCATGTGTGTAATGAAGGCCTCTGTCTGAATAATCCCATTAGGTAGTGAGATTAAAACCTGAGCTGATATTTGAGACTGTGCCCGGCACCGCTTTAGAAATTGGAGAGCTTTGCTGCCGGCCCTGGGAGAGAGGGGGCCGAGGAAGAGCAACCGAGGAGAGTGTCTGTGTTCGGGAGGTCGTCGCTCCTTTGGACTGATAGGGTGCCATTGTAATTAAAGGAGAGGGGACGGCTCCAAAGCTTCTCTCATCTTCGCCCAAGTCCATCCCTTTCTTCCAGAGTTATGCAGAGATTAATCTTTTCCACTTAAAAGCAGTTCTAATTGAGTATAATGGTTTTGATCTAACCAATAAGGGCAGTCATTTAAAAAATCATTCTCTGCTTATAAGGGAATTTGTCTTTTTGGTTGTGCTTGATGAGTAGCAGAGCTTTTCAGATTGGCTGGTTGTTTTTGCCGTAATGCTCTGATTCAACTATATAAGACTTTCTGCAAGGCAGCAGAGAGAGTTGTATATCTCTAAGGAACGTTTAAGATTGATCAACACAAACCTTTCATTCTGCATCACTTATGATTAGTTTCCAATCCCAGAAAGACATTTCCACATCACCGAACCATAATTGACTATATTAAACAGTTTCTTGATTCGGGCCATACTGAGGAAAACGTGCTGTCTGACGTTTGTTGTCTTTACATATTGCCATCTTCGTAAATCATTTGTGCAGTTTAGGAATGGGAAGATGATCGATGCGTTTTAAGAATCAATGATTCTTATCTTTAAGAAACTTAATTGATAAGCAACTAAAAACCTGGATAATGCTACGGATGAAAATAAATCCTACACAAAATTGTCTCAAGTGGAACGCTGTCTAGCTCAGTTGGTTGAGCTGGCGGTCCATGTACTGTGGCTTGGTCGCCAAGCAATGGACCCCGGTCTGAATCCGGCTCGGGGCCATTTGTTTCATTCCCTCAGTCTACCCGTTTTAAGCCTGTCTCTACAATGAAGGCACTGGTTGCCCAAAACAAAGGAAAATGTGTCAAACATTTTTGTGTGATTGGTAAAAAAAAACACACGCTATTCCTTTTTGAATTGGCACATTTGTATACTAAAAAAGCTGCTTGCCTACCAACTGTAACAAGAATAATTAGGAATATTTTTTGTATGAACTTGCTATTCTTTCAGAAATGATGAACAAATGTTTTTGAAGTGTTTCTTTGTTCAGGTTACATTTTGTCTTAGATTTGCAGTTGTATGTTTATATTATTTCAATCGCTTTTTTAAATATAGAAACTCCATAATCTTAAACACACACTTATACTCACACATGAATACTTATACTTAGATTTAATGCCATACGTTTCTATATAGCGTACATCGAATTGTATAAGAACACGAATACAGTATGCACATTTTCTAAGATGTGTTACATTTTAGGCTGTGACATGATGATGTTTATTAATGTAAATGTAAGTTATGGTGGATCAAGAATGAACATGATGTCTTTGTCAGTCAAATCTGCCTTCTGAGAATTGCAGAACCTGTTTGATCTGATCCATATTTTTTTCATCTGATGAACATAGATAATATATGCTTACTAGATTATGTGTCATAACAGGATGGTAATAAACCGGTACAACAGAAGGCAAAAATAGCATCATGGCAGTATCTCCTCTTTATCTCATCTGACTGTGTCATGCCTTGTTGCATACCAAGTCTGTAGTTTGCCCTGCGTGAGCTGGGCTCTCCCTCCTTTCTTCCTCGCTGTTTCCATCTCCTTTGTCTTCAGTCCTCTCCCACACCATTTCTTCAGTATCTTCTTTTTGTTGTGTCTTTTCCAGCTCACTCTTGAGGACTTGAAGTTAAATGTGCCTATGCTGTGCAGGTTTAGACAAGCGCTACCTGTGCGCCTCGAGGCTTTGATTACGTTTCATAAAGACGTATTTTTTGTCTGTGCTTCAAAGAGCTCTGCATTTTTATATTTGTTAAGTGAAGATGCGTATGTAAGGGACATAGCTTTCAGCGCTTTGATTCACTGTAAGCTACAGCTGTGCTTGTTGTGAACGTTGTTCCCTTCCCGTGAGGAGGCTCTAAAATGGTGGAATGAATGTAATGTTTCAGTTTAGCTCCAGATATGGTATGACGCTGCCAGTTCTGAATTTAAAACAATGTCTCTTTTTGAATTTGCAAGGCTAAATCTTAGCTGTTACTCTCTTGCATCTTGGGTATTGTTTGTCTCTTGCAGGCAATTATTCATAGTCACTCTGTTGTCTTTATAAGAGCACGTCTTTGACTCATTTGATACTTTTCTCTTTACTGAATAATGTATATTTTTCTGTGCTGTCTGCTCTGCTGCCTGACTGCAGGAGCTTCATGTTTATCAGCTCTCTTGCTGCATCATGGCTGTGTATGCTTGGCTACTAATAATCATCTCTGCAAGTGTTCTTCCATTTCATTACTGCTACAGTGATGATGAAGATGCTTATATGTCATGATGCACTCTTTCATGCTGGACTGTACTAAAATATATCGTTCTATGTACTACTAACCGACTAAGCTAAATGTATTAACTGAAAATACTTGTGAATTAATCCTCAGTTTTTTTATTAAATGGTTTCATTTTCTTCCACCTTCAAAGAGAAGAGAAGAAACTATGGTTGATGCATGTTGACAAACTTCATCCACTTTTATCTCTTCAGCTGTTTACTCTCTGTTTGAACTGGCTCTTTATTTCATCTCTAACACTGCATGTGCCTGTTACCGACGGAGCCTTGCCACACTCGGTGAGGCCTCCTTTTGGATTTGGGGGGTTGTCATGGCGCCGGGGGTCCTTCCTTTTCCCTTTGCTTTTCCGTCCTTGTCTCCCTTACTTCATAAAAAAAAAAATCTGCACCTGCACAAATGCACCTCCTCCCACCAGAGCACTGACACACTCCCTTCCATCTGTCTTTTCCTACCCAGAACTCCCTAACAACCCGCCAACCAGGCTCCCTGACGTCAAGACGAGCCAGCACAATGTAGGCGCCGTCATCGGGTGTGCTGTGGCGGGAGTCGCCCTGTTGGGGGTGGCGGCCACACTGCTCTTCGTATTCCTGCGCCGCCGCCAGCGCACCTTCAAAGGAGACTACAGCACTAAGAAACACGTGTTCGGTAACGGGTACAGCAAGGCCGGCGGTCTGCCCGCACACCCTCCGATCCCCAAGAACCTCCAGTACCCGGACGACTCAGACGACGAGAAGAAACCCGCCCAGATCAGCGGCCCCGCTGGGTTTGAGGCGAGCGTGCCCGATTTTGACCCAGAGCAAGAGGACCTGAAGAGGCCCTATTTCACTGTGGACGAAGGGGAGAGCCGAGATTATGATGAGCGGACTCTGAATTTCCAGTATGATCGTGAACCTGAGATAGCCGATGATATGATCTCTCAAACCGACGGCTCTGTCATTTCTAAGAAAGAGTGGTATGTTTAGTGGCATGCTACAACCAAACCCTTTGGTCCCCCTCACCTGCATTCCACTGCACCCTTCACCTCCATCACCACCCCACCCTCCCATTCGTCAAGCTGCCCCCTACACAGCCCACTATCCTCAAGGCCTAGGGTACCCTCCCCTTGACTCGCCCCCCCCCCCATTCAGACCCCATCCAAACTAATCTCAATTAGAAAATCAAGCGTCTATTTAAAGTGCTAGCAAAACATCAACTTCTCATTATGACAGCATTGGTATCAGTTCCATCAGGTGAATGGGCAAAGAGTACAAACTAAGGTATGTAAACGGACTTGAGTACGAGTCCAGACAGGTGATTGGTTGATTAATACTGGTGTAATATTCTTTTTGTGTATTTTTTCCATGTTATAAATGTATTACATGTATTAAAAGAGACTGCAGGTTGAGGTTTTGCTGAGCACACTTGTGAAAGTCCTACACTGGATGTGCGGATTTATTTCTGTTTTTTTATTGCCATTGCCGTTTTTGTTATTTTTATAAAGTCTTTTTCTATAATTTTTAAGTGAGCAGAGATATGAGAGTTATATGTTCGACATAATTACAGGTGGAGTTCTATGTGTTTGTAATTGTGTGGTCAAATGTTTCAGAGAAAAACAAAAAAAACGCCATACAGCACCTGTGTCATTTCTGTTTCTCACTGGGGTTAGCGTCCATGAAACTCATGTTTGTACAGCATTTACAGCAGATGTGTTATGTGCTGTGTTCCAAAGACATGCTTAGTATTTCTTGCTCCCCCCTGTGTGTATAGGCTTGGTTTAACTTAACTGAGAGGGAATCGGCCTACTGAGCCATGTGGCAGATACAAATTGAGTATTTTCAATAATTTTCCCCTTAAATTTTAATAACGCTAAGAATGTTTCCACATCAGTGAATAAGAGTACAGCAGAGAGAAGGGCTGCAAAAATGTCTACTTTTCATTGGTGCATCACAACCACGTCCAAATAAGGTTTGGTGAGTCTCGGAGTCATAAAAACACCTTCAATAATGCTCTGAAATATCATGATTGTCACTTGACTTTAACAGGTTGACGAGCTCTTGATCTTACCACTATAATGAAATGTCTGTTTTTTTTTCTATGTTGAGTTGTCATAATTGTGTTGTTCTAACCCTTCTTTTATCAAATGGATGTCAGAGAAAAGTGTCTGAGGAATTTCCCAAATATGACTCTGCCTCTCCTTATAATATGTGACTGTGTGCTGAAAGAATTGGCTGAAGCCCTTACACCAACAGCATGAGGAGATGTCCATGGACACAAAGGACACAGATAGGAGAGAAATGTCAACAGATGCTTACATTTGTGACTTTGAGAGAGCATTTATCATGTAAAGGGAATTGAAAAATGAATGGTGGCCATGCTGGAGTATAAAAAGTCACCTGCTGCTTTCATTGGGTTTATTTTCCATCTGTTTATTTGTTTTCTTTCTAAAATGAAATTCTGTATGGGGGATTTTAAATGAGTGAATGGTTGTCCTTTTCTTAATCATCTGAATCTGCCAATAGGGCTGTCAGAAGGCTGTATCTGGCTTTTTTTAAATCACTGTTAATAAGTGCCAGATGGAGTGCAAAATGCATTTCCTTGGAACAAAAAAAAAGTTCAATGTGAAATATCCGATAAAACCGATGCAAAGGAGTAAATCGGTGGATATGGGCATCAGATCTGACTCGCTCTGAACAATATAAATACGTTATTAAGCCTTATTTTATGCATGTTTTGTGTTGGAGTGGATGTGCGTACGTTTGAAATTTTGTTTCGGTATAAAATCCAGTGTGTTTGTCCTCATTCGCAGCTCGAAAGACGACACTTTGTCAGTGCTGTCGTTAACAAAAAAGGTATGGGTACCCAGGAACAATATTGCAGTTAAATACTAAAAAAAAATATATAAATAAAGATGAAAAAAGAACATCTCCCTGGGAGCAGATCGCTGGAGATGTGAATGTTCTACAGTCCATGCTTGTCTACTGTACTTTTTTAGATGAGCATGTTAAATCATGAGCCTCAATTTCTATTGTATTTTCAACACAAAATTAACATTACAAAAATGGGATATAAAAGGTCTTATCAAAAGCCTGTTGATTTCAGTTAAGATTCATTTTCTACTGCCTTATTTTTGTTTTTGTTCGGTGTATCCACTAGAGATTGAGAACATACATGGTGGTTTACAGGTTTTAGCGAGAGAACTAAACAACAGCGTCTGGGTTGCTGCCTTCCAAGCGCAAAAGCAAGTCCCAATTATGTTGCCTTTATTTTATCGTTCACTTGATAAAAGGTGAAAGGCTTTGCTGAAACTTCTTCTTTTAAATTCTACAGACATATCACAGCATAATAGACACAAAACGTTTTTATCTTTTTGTGCATTCAGTGCCTATCAAAGACAGGAGACAGATGCTGCTCCAGCGTTTTAAGTTATTCATGCAGAAGAATAACATAAAGAGTAATATTGAAATATGACACAGACTGCAAACCTCTTAAAATCAGACAAATGATCGTTCTTAACTTGCAGTGAATTGTAGTTAGTATAGTGGGGATGTTATTCCCCCCCGAGCTCCAATTTGATACTAACAATGTGTCTTGATCTCAAAATCAATTCATCTCTTAGAAGCCCTTTTAACGTTTAATGATTGCTTCACGGTAACACAGCACTTTTTCTCTATCAATAAAGACCCTAAAGAGATCAAACTTTGTCACATATCGCTGACTTTTCAAAGCACAACAATTGAAACATGAAATCTAGTGAAAAAAGATTGAAATCCAATTTTAAAAAAGCAACTTTGGCCCCAAGTAGAGATCAGACCGACTCCTTTTAAAGCACAACTTTAGTTTTTTTTTTCTGCATCCATTAGAAAGCCACTGCCACACTTGCTTCTAAAACGGTCGAGAAAGAAAAACAATTTGGAGTGGACATTCTGTATACTGGTAGATGTTAACATTGTCTTCATGTTGTCAGGGTGTTATGAGTTTCTATTTTGTAATACTGACTGTAACTTCATTCCATCCTAATCTACTTTTTGTATTCAGTATGTTCAACATTCCACTGTAAATATTGTACATACGGTTGAGATTATAGTTGGGATTTATTTAGGGACAACTGCGTAGGGACCCTGTCATGTAAAATATACCTATTTTGACTGCAAACATAGAGACTTGGTGATGGATAGATGAAGTCGATGGATAGCTTATTTCCAAAGTCCAACCCTAGAAATGCTCCTCTGGTACGTTTTTTTTAAAATGCCACTAGCAGCTTCACTGTCATACAAAAGGGGTGACGCATACAGTTTGTCGATGTAATGTTATTGAAAGAAAATCAGAAGAGAGAAAGTGTCTGTATGCAGCCATGTGAATGTATATTTCTGAGGGTGTTACAAATATGAAAAAAAAAAATCTATTGTTCAATTGTGATGACCCAGTGAAGTAACTTGTATTTGTTTTAAGCATTAAATGAGTTCAATAGTCAACAATGTTCTGTCCAAGTTCACTGATAGATGTACCGAATATGGTTCACGTCTGCAACACATTTATTATCCCTGTGTATTGATTTTGGTAATTGCAGCTCTTGTATCCCTGTCGCCTCATGCAGGTGCTTATTTGGATTTATTTGTCAGCGAAATCACCTTCTGTGAGCCTTAAGTGTAAAACATAAAAAGGTTTGTTCTTCAAATAAATGTTCCTCTGGTTTGACAATTCAACACATTGTGAGGCCAACATATAAACCCATATGTCGCTCTGCTCCTATCCAGCTATGAGACAGAGTCACGTGGCGTATTCCACTTGCATTGCTGTTCCAGTTTTCAGAATCAAAATCAACTTGGGATGCATCCACGCTACCCTCCATTGTTTGCTCTACTTTTAAAGCCTGTGTGCGAGAATAATCAAATTATTTTTTTAAAAAGCCAATACAATCAGTCATGGTTAGGAAATTTCCTTAATTCAGACACAATTTCTTAAAGGTGTTGACAAAACTGCTTTTGTCACAGAAAAGGTCAGTAGTGTAGTATCAAGATGATCATTTTAGTCAGGCTAATACATTAATATAAAAAAGGATGCATATAATCTAAAGCAAAATGTCTCCAGTGGTTATAACTGTACCTTTTAAGTGTTTTTCCCTTTTAATTGGAGAGCAAAAACCGCCAGGCAGATGTTGGTATTGAGTTCAGCGCTTAATGAAGCTGCAATGATATGATGAGAGAGGCTCAGTGTAGAGCCAGACAGATCTGTCTCAGACTGTGGGACTCAAGTGCAGACATCTGCACCGTGCACATTAAGAACAGCCCAGAGTTTGCAGCTGCTGCCATCCATTTGCTAAAAGAGCCCTTTGTAGCCCAAGGGGCTTTGATGGCGCATAGGCTTTTAACATGCATGGCCATCAGTTTCCCCCCCCTCCTGACAGAGCTGCGAGTGGAATTGTACATATCCTCTATCAAAGTACTCTTAAGATGAAATACGGCTAGATTTTTGTTTTAAAATATGTTTCTCATGGGCCGTAAATTCAAAAGCGAATGTGTAAGAGCACCTCATAGTGATGCTACTCCATTCAGCGCTGTAACAGCGTAACTTCACAGAATACTAACTACAGCTGGGCCGTATTAAAGGAAGTGGGGACAAGTGAAAAGTGATACGGCTGTGCCCGCCGTGATTTTATGTGTAGCTCACATGTTTGGATTATACTTCTTAAACTTTATGGTGCTCATCATTTCAGACTAGCATTGAATTTGAAGCCGAACAGTAGTTCTGACAAGGCAGCCCCAGTTCCTTCACACTTTTTGGTGAAACACATTAGCATTCAATTTTCGTTAAGCAGTCAGTTTGATTTATAAGCCACAATAACTCTCTAAACTTGGGAAAGAAAGATTGGTAGCTTACGTTGCAAGATACTATTGGCTTCTGTGAACCGTTGAGCTACCGATAAGCTAAGAAGTGGAGAAAAATATATCAATATGAAAGACTTTAGGAAAGCCAGTACCACAAGTCATTAAACTACAGTGATTAAATTGTTAATTACTATTTTGTATATGCGTTAGCAATTTCTTCAGGCTGGATACAGGAGGGAAGTTTTACATATTGATCAGTAAGTTGGCTTTTTGCTGCACTTTGTTGCTTTGAGGCCAGTTTGTAAACATCTCTAAATACTGATATAAGACATCTGATCTCTTCACAGGACTGCTGTTTCAATTCAAGACTCATATTCAGTGGACTCATCTGTGTAAGCAACATAAAACGTTCTCTCAGTTTTTGTCACAAGAGACCCAACAACATGTGTCACAGCCTGCAGAGACATGCATGTAATGTAAAAATACCCATGATGTGTTAATGCATAATTATTTCTTGGATCATCATTGTTCATGGCTTCCAGAAATATGTTGGGTTTTGCTCTTTCTTTCTGTTTTCAATGTGTACAGTCACATGAAGTTGTCCATAATAAAGATGTATTACTGTAAATGACACTATTACTCTTGTGTGTACAATTCTCAAAGATCCAATGGCAGAAATGTCAAAACTACACTTTTCCATGGTATCGTTACAGTAATATACTGCCTTCAGCCTTTGAAAGTATGAAGATTTCATCAGCTACACCCTTAGGAAAATGTTTCAAATGTTTCATAATGACATTTAAGTGGTCTCAAAGGCTCATGTACTGAAGATATGTTGAAAGAGAACATCTATACTTAAGGGATATGATAAATGCTAATGTGCTCTAAAGTGTCTTGTTAAATGACAAGATTGTATTGTATTTTGACACAACTGTCATGTGTCACAAGTTATAAGTCAAAACCTACTAAAAGTACTTTATAGTTAGGTTTTCAGCCACTGCTGGACATTGTATCTGTTTGTCACTGAGGTCACCTGACACTTAATTTCTTAGCCGAGTGACTCATCATTTTTCTTGGAAAAGGTATTGTCAGCTATTCCATACTGTTACAGTATTTTTTTAATAATCTTGACGTTACTCCAGAAAAAACTGTAGCTCTGTGATAATGATCAGTGAAGAGTTTGCCCACTTAAGCTGCAGATATTGTCCTCCTCACTTGTGGTATTTTCTTTGGTTGTCTGACCAAAGATGTCCTGAAACTACATTTTCTAAATTTCATCTCGTTTTTCCTTTTTATTCGTGCCTTCTCAGATTTTGCCTCTCAGGCAACAACTAGCGCGACTAAAGTTGACACATGTTTCACTTGGAGCGCCACCCTAAACCCAAGACACATAATTAGGGAAAATATTCCTGCCATGACCAAACCAGTAAAATATACAGAAAAACTCACATTTACAACCATCCCTTTATTCTCATAACTGGGCTGTTTTTGCTCGGTTATGTTGCAGCTGACTGAATGTTCAAACACCAGTATGGATGAGTAGATCACAAGTGTTGTTGAAACACTGCTCTGACACCTGGCTGTGTTGTTGACATGATTATATCTCATTAGTTATTTGCCATCCATGTAGGCCTTTTTCAATGCCTGGGTTTATGCTTTACAACACTCTGTGAGTACAGCTGTGTACACTTGATACTTTAGCCCGAGAAATGTAATGTATTAAAGGTCACCTATTATGCAAAATCCACTTTTCCATGTCTTTCATACATCAACACGTGTCCCCTCTGTTTAAGAGATTCTGAAAGTCTCAGGAAAAAAGATTCGCACATTTTTTGTCCTGATCCATTTATATAAAAACCTGAGCTGATCAGATTTTGGCCACTTTATGATGTCATAACGTTTTTTTGGCTTGTGTAACCATTAGCCAGTAACCAACCAAGCTAACCCCCGCCCACCTTATCACCTGAATCTCCTCCTAGAGCACCTTTATGTTCTTTTTAACCAAATATCTCTCAGAGGGGCGTGGGGAGTGGCGCCTTATAAAATAACAGACAGAGAATCATCACTTTTGAAACAGGGCTTATGGGATGCTGCAGGGCTTATGGGATGCTGCAAAGCACGATCTGTTTGGTATTTCGAGCCAAACACTTCAGAGTCATGTTTTGTATATAACTAAGAACTATAATATATTGATGAAAAACAGTATAACAGTGTAGTAGTTATCCATTTAGGGGACCTTTAAATGATACACACAAGGCATTTGTCTTCTCTATCACACTTTTTATTTGGATTGTTTATCCATCAGCCTGTCCGTTTATCTGTCGGTTCCATTCTCGTGTCTGTGATATCTCAGCAATCCTATGAATTTCTCCATATGTTGCACACACATCATGGACTGAAGGATAAACGTGTTACATTATGAAGGACACTGTGACCTCACATCTGTCAAATTATTGCGAAAGGAATTCTTCAGGAACCTCTTGCAGGAACTTAACCCAGGTCCAAGAAATGTTTCACCCCTAAAGTCTCCACAGTGATGTACCATCCTTGGGATCTTAAAATAAAGAGCACAGTCCGCTTTTATATCACTCCAGAGAAAAGAAGAACTGAATCAAAGGCGGTAAAAAAAAAAGATCTTCAGTGTTTAGATGATAATCTGGTGGGC